CTCCTCTTTTTCCCTTCCTCCCTATCCCCTACCCCCTACCCCTTTCGACGCCTGCTACGCAGGCTACGTCTCCGCTGCACTCGATCGCCGTGCGAGAGAAAAAACCTCTGGTACCCAGGGTATGAATTGCTGGGTTGCATATACTAGTGCTTGTCGTTTGCATTAACTTGTCTTTGAAATCAGGTTTTTTTTGTCTTTGACCTTCACCCTTACAGGAACATCAGACGTCGTCTTTTAAATCTTTTTTTGGCTCGAACATCGCCGCCTCGAAGACATCTTTTTGGGCGCGCCCTCTGAAGACCGACCACAACAAACTGAATGCATGTGACGTATGCGCCAGCTTTAGATTTAAAGGGAAGTGAATGCTAGAGTTTGACAAATCTTTGAAAATCAGATGAAACCAAATCAAAAATCACCACGACCGGCTGCAAATGAAAACTATCATCAGTAAGCGCACGTGTCTTCGCGTACGCGAAGCTACTCAAGCTTGCATAGAGACTGAGGGAATCGTTTCCCTTCAGTTTTAACTTTTTTAACTGCACAAAATTCGAGAATCCTGATGAGTTTTTACATGAAAAAGTGTCCATCGCCATCACATATTGATTTTTTAATTCTTACACTCGCCCTTGTTGGTATCTATATACTTTCTTACATCCAACACCAGCTCGTGGAATAAACTCTCATAGACCAGAGCTCTCGACCAATCAGCTCCGAGAAACCGATGAGTAATTTGTAAATCTCCCGTGAGGTATATATTATGATTGTGCTGACTGAGGCGTAGGCCAAACGCCAAACTTTTTATGAGACTAACCAAACTCTAATTTGGGTCGACCTAAATTAAGTTAAGATCGTCTGTTGGGTCAGACGTCGAACTTAGGACACGTCGAACCATTCAACTGAATCAGACCAAAAAAAAATTGAGTATTTTTTTTTCCCAAACGAGGATAAATATACATTATCATACAAAGCTTTCGTTTATACGTTTCGCATGTGAATATTGACGTTTGTCTCGGAGACGATCTTCAGACGTTCTATCCGTCTGAAGCAGACCGATAGAACGTGTTGGACGCCTGGGGGGATACTTCCTTATAAGAGGCTAATGGGGATGTGCCGCTGGATTGGGTCGCATTTTCACGACTGGATCGACTATAACGGGGTCGCACATTTTCGGATTTTTTGAGGATAGACAGTTCTCCCTGTAAATAATATGCTTGTACTGTAGGTGAAAAGTAAAGTGTTCTTCATTCAATTTAAATAATGGGTCAATTCATTTTAGGATTACCTATTTAAAGCATTGATAAGGTAGATAGGTAAATAGAAAGTGACTAAGTTGGGATTGCGAGAATTATATTTTTCCCAAAAATGACTTAGATGGGGTGTATAATTGGCCACAGAATAGACTATAATGGGATAGGGGCTCTGATAGGCCAGTGGTAGATACTCAGCAAAAATTAACCTAAGTACTTATTAAGTTTGGTTCATCTCATGAAAAGTTTGACATTTGGCATAGGCCTGAATTGCTGGGGGATTCCTATTCATAGTCAAGACATTGATCAGCATTGTTATGCTGTTGGCAATCAATGCCAAAGAAATTTGCCAAAATTCACAACCAAATTAGTCATAAGAATTGTTAAGAACATTTTAATCCACAGTGCTTGGTAAGAAGAGTTAGTTGAACTTTCTGAGATTATATGTTCATGGTTTTCATGAATAAATAAACCAAACCTGCGAGTTCACGACAGGATGAAGTCAATAAGTTCACCCGCACTTCATATAATCGCATTTCAGTTACACATAACACGGTGAAATTATGGTTTAACTCCATGCGCGCAGAGGTCTCTCTCCTGTATGGCTTTTAGCATTGACGACTGAGTAGTTCACGTTGTTGGCAGTCGTGACAAAGAAAATGTTTAAACGTTTTTCCCATAAAAATTTTGTATGTTAGTGTGACAAAAAGAAAAATCACATACTTCTTTCCCTTCGAATGATTTCCTTGAGGCTAGATTAGTGTCCAGTAACCTCGCGATTGCAATTCACAACAACAAAAAAATAATGTCACCGTCACAAAAACCGCCAAGGAGCTTCGCAATCGGAAATTATCTTTTCCCATCGTCTAAGATTGGCGATAAAAATTATTTTAAACGAGTTAGGCTCGTTTCAAACGTCGTGCTACTGCCGTTCTAAGCAGGCTAGACTTCAGCACGACTCTAACACGACTGTAGCACGACTTACTTTAAGACGTCGAATTTAACTCAGTCGAATAAAATAGCTGTTGCGGAAAACAAAACTAAAAAATAAAAAGCGGTTAAGTGAACTTCAAAAATGTATGCTAATGTATTTATAATTTACGAATTGAGTTTGGCACAGCAGTAGCACGTTTGAAACGGGCCTTAGTGGTTTTTAGTCACATGACAGAGCACTTTCCTTCGTCTCTTCCTTGATGGAGTGTATCCTGTGAGGCGGGACCAACAGAACATGAGCTGCAGTCGAAGCTGTAGGGACTAAGAAACCCTTGGAACAATTTCATTGTACCGTAACTTGCAAATTGAAAACGACGGAGTGAAACTGCAACTTCAGTTTTCAATTTCCATTCATCGCTTTCCGCGTTATAACATTCGACCTTTAATCGTCCCGACCTTTCTCCTCTACGGTCGGAATACCATGATCGAATTTCGCCCAGAGCATACAGTTTCTCATCAACGACAAACAAGCCTCCAAATTTTTCCGGTTCTATGTTGAAGCTTTTGATAAACTGCCATTCATTTGTCGTTTCATTGTACATTTCACACAGGTGATCATCTGTCTCCATTCGATAATGAACATTTCCAGCAATGAATATTTTGCCATTCGCCGCTGCTCCATGACCACTGCCTTCTCTCGCCACTTGAATGTCTGCTAGTTTATCCCATTGGTTTCTGCGTAGGTCGAACCTGTCAACCTCACGTAAAAGCCTTTCTCCGCCAGGTGTGTTCCTAGACCACTCTGTCCCACCAATGAAATAAATGAAGTTGTCGTGGGTCACAATGCAATAATGCTCTCTGTTAACCAAAAACTCGGGTGATGATATGTCCTCCCATGAATTGGATTCTGTGTTGTATTTTATGACGATGATGCCACTTCTCATGCGAATATTGTAACCACATGCCCTTGCGCATGGAGAAAGGCATGGAGATCTCACAGCATACGTTTCATCATTATAAACGAAGATTTCCCTCAAAAGTCCATCATTTAATGACGGTAACGACTTCCAAGTTTCAGAGTGTGGAATGTAACAGTTAATATGAAGGCTACAGGACTCCCCGAAAGAGATAGGTGTTCTTTCGGATGATCCCATAGTATAAATCTCTCCCACTTCCTTTCGACTTGTGTAGTATATTTTATCATGACAAAAGAGAACACCATTGATATCGCCACTTATTAGCAAAGGCCAAGGCATCTTTTCATACCACCGATCTTCTCTCGGAAAATATAACATAAGCCTGTATCCTATGTTGGCGACAATTGCAGAAGCCTCTAGAGACTTCCTTGGTTTGCAAAGAACACTTTTGAAAACTTTTGTGGAGTCAATTAGTTCAATAGCTTCTTTAACAAGTTCCAGACAGCATTCATTGTCTGTTACCAAATCATTTGTCACGATATCACTGCAAAGAGAGTCACGCGATATGCAAACCAGTCGAAC